GGCTTTTCATAAGAAAGTTAAGTGTCATGCCAACAATACGATAGACATTAGGAACCTCATTATGAAACTTAGCATTGTTCTTAGATACCCAAATAAACCAAAGAATAACAGAAGGCACATAAGTAAAAAAGGCATGGCCAAGGCATTTATAGTCAGTGTAAATATTAGAAATGTATGTTGATTCATATTCCTCTCAATGTACAGTTTCGAAGAAACATGCATCCAAATATCTTTAGCAAAGTGGCAACCACCAAACATATGAGAATGTCTTCATGAGCCTTAAACAACACACAACAAGAAAGAAGCCGCAATCCTTTTATTTTAAGAATAACATCAGTGGGGATTTGATTATGAAAGACCCTCCAAACAGAAAAGGAAATTGAAGGTTTAACCCAAGGTTTCCACTTCCAACAAAAATCTAATCCCTAGAAACATTGAAAAGAATTAGCAAAGATTTTAGAACAAGAATCCCCAATGTTGCCTTTAACATTAAGCAAATCAATTTTATCACAGTTAATAGGAATCGAAGATATGAATTTAGCACAATCAGAATGGACCAACTGAGCAAGATCCCTTTCACACCAACGATTCTCAAACCAAATATCCTTGACTTTAGTATCAATAACATGTGGACCACCATAAAAGTCCACTAAAGCACCATTGCCCAACCAATCATCAAACCAAAAGGAGCACTCCCCTTTGCTAATATCCCAACAAATCAAGTCCTCATTATGTCTAGCAACCTTTAACAGTTCTCTCCAAACGAAAGAATCATTTTTATTATAAGTGCTAGATAGAAGAAGCTTATTGAAGCAACATTTAGCATGCATTAAGAAGGCCCAAATAGAACTGTTCTCTCTAAATATGTACCATAACTTCATATAATTAACCTTAATAAAATTAGATAAGCTTCCAAAACCAAGACCTCCCTTCTCAACAGGCTTACAAAGCTTAGACCAACTTTTTCAATGAATATTGGATTTACCTTTGCCATCCCATTGAAATTTATTAAAAAGATTTTCAAGCATTGTAATAAAATCCAAAGGCATATTCATAATTTGCAAAGAGTAATGAGGAAGAGAAGTAAGAACACTCTTAAGTAGAGTGATACGCCCTCCAAATGAAATAAATTTAGTTTCCCATGAAAAAATCTTATTCTTGATTTTATCAACAAACTCAAACAAAGAGCATTACGTTTTTTAAGGACCACAGCTGTCGAGAACCAACAAACAATAGAACCCAAGAAGTCCCTACAAACACCTCCAACACTAGATTGATTATACTTCCAACAACCATCAATATTGATTTTAATAAAGGGTGCACAAGGTTTACACCAAGGCACTCTAGAAATAACAATTTCATGCATAGAATCATATATATTCAATTTCTGAAGAAGATCCATCAATCTACCATTAAGCTTCTTATTAGGATTCAAAAGCTTAAGGCTTTTCATAAGAAAGTTAAGTGTCATGCCAACAATACGATAGACATTAGGAACCTCATTATGAAACTTAGCATTGTTCTTAGATACCCAAATAAACCAAAGAATAACAGAAGGCACATAAGTAAAAAAGGCATGGCCAAGGCATTTACAGTCAGTGTAAATATTAGAAATGTATGTTGATTCATATTCCTCTCAATGTACGGTTTCGAAGAAACATGCATCCAAATATCTTTAGCAAAGTGGCAACCACCAAACATATGAGAATGTCTTCATGAGCCTTAAACAACACACAACAAGAAAGAAGCCGCAATCCTTTTATTTTAAGAATAACATCAGTGGGGATTTGATTATGAAAGACCCTCCAAACAGAAAAGGAAATTGAAGGTTTAACCCAAGGTTTCCACTTCCAACAAAAATCTAATCCCTAGAAACATTGAAAAGAATTAGCAAAGATTTTAGAACAAGAATCCCCAATGTTGCCTTTAACATTAAGCAAATCAATTTTATCACAGTTAATAGGAATCGAAGATATGAATTTAGCACAATCAGAATGGACCAACTGAGCAAGATCCCTTTCACACCAACGATTCTCAAACCAAATATCCTTGACTTTAGTATCAATAACATGTGGACCACCATAAAAGTCCACTAAAGCACCATTGCCCAACCAATCATCAAACCAAAAGGAGCACTCCCCTTTGCTAATATCCCAACAAATCAAGTCCTCATTATGTCTAGCAACCTTTAACAGTTCTCTCCAAACGAAAGAATCATTTTTATTATAAGTGCTAGATAGAAGAAGCTTATTGAAGCAACATTTAGCATGCATTAAGAAGGCCCAAATAGAACTGTTCTCTCTAAATATGTACCATAACTTCATATAATTAACCTTAATAAAATTAGATAAGCTTCCAAAACCAAGACCTCCCTTCTCAACAGGCTTACAAAGCTTAGACCAACTTTTTCAATGAATATTGGATTTACCTTTGCCATCCCATTGAAATTTATTAAAAAGATTTTCAAGCATTGTAATAAAATCCAAAGGCATATTCATAATTTGCAAAGAGTAATGAGGAAGAGAAGTAAGAACACTCTTAAGTAGAGTGATACGCCCTCCAAATGAAATAAATTTAGTTTCCCATGAAAAAATCTTATTCTTGATTTTATCAACAAACTCAAACAAAGAGCATTACGTTTTTTTACCTTTATCAATAGTAAAACCCAAATAATTCAAAGGTAGAGCAGCCTTATTGCAACCAGTAAAATCCATAATCCAATTCTTTTTAGAAGCATTGACTCTCATAGAACAGTAAAAGAAACATTTAGAAGTGTTAAAGAGCAACCCAGAGGTAGTTTGAAACTTTATAATTTCCTCCCAAACCTTTCTAATAGAGCATTTATGGGCATTAGTAAAGATAATCAAATGTTATTCTGAGATATTTGATTATGATCTGAAATATTTTTGTTTTTTCCCCTTTGGTTGATTTTGGATTGAGCTATGAAAATCTCTAGTCTTTTATTAAAAATTAATCGTAAGTTTGAATATTTATGGTCTTTTGGATTTTACATATTCATCATACTTGAAAGAATTTTTAATTTTTTTTTTCTTTCGAGTAAGTTTCTAAGCTCTTTTTTTGTTGAGTCTTTAGTATTTTTATGTTTTTTTATTATTATTCATTTGGATTGCATATTATCATGTTGGTTTTTTTTTTATTATTTCTCTGATTTATCTATTCATATACTTATTTTGATGTTGAGTTGGGATGAATTCTCTATGGTTGGCATTTTATTGTTTTCCCTGAGTTGTTCTTTATTGTGGTTGTGCTTGCTTTGTGCTCATGTAGTGAAGTTGGCTCTCACCTGTTTTGGAGTGATTTGGCTATTGGTTGGATAATTCTTGATCTTCTGTTATTCGGTCTTGCTCTTTTGGGCTCTATTGGTGACTATTCTTGATGGTTACTCTGAGCTATTTGGACCCAGTTTACGCTTTTTGAACAAGTGATTGAGAATTGCTTTGACTATGTTAATAAAACTTCTTCAATGTGTGGGTGCTTCCCAAATGTTGGATCTTCTTCAATGAGTTTTTTTTTTTTTCTTTCATTTTTTGGCAATCTTTTGGTTTATTGGTTTTGTTTTGTAGTTTTATAATTGTATTGTAGTTTTTGTTATTTATTTATTTTTTTTGCCAAGTTGTCTTCAAATTGTGTCATTTCTTTATAATAAAGCTAGTTGTGGCCCTCATATTTTCCAAAAAAAAAAAAAACCAATGATTAGGCGCAATAAATAAAGAACAGCTCGACACTACCATGCATCATAAACCTTATTTCTTCTATATGAACCATCCTTTCCAAATGGAGTATAAAGTTTTGAAAACGTCTGCACATCCAATCACGGGAGGCAATGTCAGTGCATATACATGAAATTATTGCTGACGTGAACACTCATAATTAGACATCCGAACGTACGGTGTTTAAACATAATATTTTCATCAAAAATAACATTATTACAACTTTCTTAACAGTGAAATATATACATTTTTATACATAAATTTTAATACCAAAATGTTATAAATGTAATCAAATTTTAGGTGTTTAGATATGTAAATAAATAAAAATTATGGTAGCATGTAGATTTTCCTATTATAAATAACAAAAATCTTTTAGGGTCCATTTAGGCCGGCAGAAATTTTGTTTTTAAAATGTCTATAAAATTGTCACGGAAAAAATAATTTTTGCTGTAAAAATTAAATCAGAACAGTTTCTTAAAGCTATCACTACGACATTTTAGTATTTATACTCTCAAAAATAATTTTTCACCACAAATTTATGAAAACAGCAACACAATAATAGCTAAATAATGGTTGAGCAGCGATCTCAGAAGTAAAATTATGAAGAAACTTATCCTAAACAGACCCTTCAACAGGAAAAATATTACATCAGTACTACGCATGTAAAAATAAAGTGCGTAGTCAATTAAATCACGCCACAACATCTCACGCGACAGAGCAAAAAAAAACAGCACAGTAACATGAGGAATATTCTCCCGTGTGTTATTCATATGTTATTGCGCGTTATTCATGTGTTATTGCGTGTTATTCATGTGTTATTAATGTGTTATTATGTTATTATAACAACAAGAATATTCTCAGGACACAATAAGATATGAATAACACACAATAACACTTGAATAACACGGGAAATATTCCCGACAGAGAAAAAAACGGCGTAGTAACACGGAAGAATATTCTCTTCCGTGTTATTCTTGTGTTATTGTGTGTTATTCATGTGTTATTCATGTGTTATTGTGTTATTATAACACCAGGAATATTCTCAGGACATAATAACACATGAATAACACACAATAACACATGAATAACATGGGGGAAATATTCTCCGTGTTACTGTGCCGTTTTTTTCTCTCTGTCGCGCGGGGAGTCGTGGAGGAATTTCATTGCCTCGTGCATAGTACTGATGTAATATTTTTTCCGTCAAGAGAGCATTTTGGTTTTTTAGTTACATAGACAAGAAGTAGATGTCATCTGTTATTGAGCCATTAATGTTCTACACGAAGAAAATACAATCAGAATTCAGAACCAAATAAATTATTAGTTTAAATGCCTATGACACTCTCTTTTCTAGTCTCTAGTAAGACAAATATCCCACAAAAAGCACATTGGAAAAATGCTAATAGAAAGAGGAAGATATCAAGTAAAACTTCAACAAGCTTAAGTTACCCTGGAGTAATAATTTTAAGTCAGATAAATACTATCCAAGACTGCAAACCCAGTAGCCACTCCACCTTCATTTGATGAGGAATCCTTTGTTCGCATCAGGTAACCACATTTTTCATTCATAATCACCTTGTCATTATTCCTATAAATTTAGACAGATTAGTCAATTGAGTTCATCGCCTCAAGGAAGGGGAATTTACACGACACACAATTCTTACGTATTTACATATCTCACATCCAAACTTTCATATTTACACACAAAACACTCAAATCTTTAATATCACAACAAAAATAGTACTATTATCACTTTTTAAAAGTAAAATACACTTTTTAATGCACATGTTTAAAGCACCAAAATGCAATGCATATAAAAATTAAAGTTTAGGGGTGAGATATGTAAACAAATAAGAATTTGTGCTACGTGTGAAAATTTCCCAAGGAGAATTTGGTCATTATTTCAAAATGATATGAAGAGAACTTAAGTATATACTTTAGATAGGCTCCATATATGCCGAGTTCTGAAATAGCGCGGCCTTGTTGAGGAATTCCTTCCCTGATGAGATAGGAAACAGAAGCAGCAGGAAATATCCTCTGCATCAAAATGTAAGCAGCTTGTTCCTTACTGTTCTCCTGTTGCAGCTTCAATAGCATTTCTTTCACGTCATCACCATAGATATTATTTCCTGGAAGCCAACAATAGAATGAGAAGAACAGATCCAGGAAAACTAAGAGGTCCTTTGGGATCAGCTTTATTTTTTATTTTTTTTATGTTCTGATTTGAACATAACATTTTTGATTATTTGATTGAAGTGTTATTTTTTATAAAAACATTCAAAAAACAAAAATGTTGTTTTGAGCGTTTTAAAAGATAAATTAATTTTTTTAGAAATAAAAGTTAAAAATAAATTAAAAAAACATTAAACAAACATTTTTAAGAAAAAAAGGAAAACAATAAAAAGAAAAAAAAACAAAATTGATCCCAGACGAGCCCTAAGAAAAGATTCAAAATAATAGCTTGAATACAACCTCCGCCTTCTCTTTGCGGCTTGAGCACAAATAATTCAGGTCTTTCGATGGCACGCTTCACGACTTCTGAGTCATCCAAACTCCATAAGCCTGCAAAACATTTTCGCAGTTTTGCAGCAGCATCCTCTTCAAGGAACCTTTAGTTAAAGGCGTCATACTATTTGATAAGATACCAAGATTCAAATTGCACATATTGGAACTATTTCTTTTGAGTATATTAGAACTCTAAATGGTAAATGGATTGTTACCATATAAATACACTAAGAAATTAAAATTCAGTTTTATCGAATAAGTTTTAAGCTTGTGTTTAAGATGGTGTCTCTAAAATTATAACCATAATCATCTATTATGTTATACAAACATTCAAAATAGCTATTAAAAAAGACAAAAAATAAGGATTACGCAATAAGAATCCATGAAAATATGCATTGCAAGGCTATGAAAATTAAAAGTTCATTTGAAAAATAATAGTGGCCTAGATATAGTTAGCAATAATGAAAGTAAAAGCACAATTCCAAAAATAATAGTGGTCCAAAATTTTTCACACAAGAAAACATACGATAGGAATTTTGAACTAATCAAGGCTTAATGTCCAGTTTGGAGCCCTCTAAATCCTTTGACCTAACACCTTGAAGGCACTATCCCTAGCATAATTGAGGACAAAAGTTATATTCCTTGATGAGGACCTTTCCATGTGCTTCACCTTACTATAGATGATAATGCTCACAACAACAAAGACTAGTCAGAAGCCACCCAAAAACATTGGGGGAAAAGGAATCACAGAAAGCTAAATGTAAACAGCAAGACGTTATGTAAATATTATTCTTATAAAAATAATTTAAGAAGTTCAAACTCCATTTTATTTATTTCTTTTGTGCTTTGCGTGAGCCCTCATGTTGACAGATTAAGGTTCAAAGCTCATTTAGTAAAAGGTATTGTTACTTTTTACAAGTTTACTTTAAATATTTAAAGTTGACTATTTGATTATTTTTCACCATAGTATTCTTCATATTTAACTCGTGTAAGATCATGAGCCAGCTAACTTAAAATCATTAAAACAAAGGATACCTCATGAAGATATAAGTTTTATTGGATGAGATTTAAATGGGCATGTTGGTAGAGTGGTAGTATATTATAGTAGTCATGGTACTTGATGATAATGGACCACGTAGGCCCACCTTTGAATTAGGCAACTGTGGGCCAACTGCTACATTTGAGGGGGAGAATTACTCCCCCTTAATTATACAATATTATGTTTTATTTCTTTATTTCTTAACATGATTTTGAATTTCCCTCCAATTCTATTAGGTTTAACCTTTTATATATATACTTGCTATTCGCTTCTACTACATAAATGAAAAATTAGAGTTATTCCTCTAAAAAAATTCTTCCAAAAATTCTACATGATATCAGATCTAGGAGACAAACCCTAGATCTCTATTTCAGCCAGTAGAATACTCTCTGCAGGTCCTCCCTAGCTTCCTGACTGTCAGATCTAGTAGTGTAAATGAGATTAGCCGAGCTCGAGCTCAGCTCACCTATCAAATTGTAAGCTCGAGCTCAAGCGTGGCTCGTAGTTGGTAGCAATCGACTTGCAAGCTCGAACTAAATATCCATTTTTTACGGGAGCTAATCGGACAAGGTGTTGCTGGCCAGAGAAAGAGGATGCAGTAATAACTCACCGGAAAATGTGTCAATGTGACTAGTGTTAGATTAATCGAGTCGACTAGCAAGCCAACAAGTTGAGCTGGGACAAGATCGAGCTCAAGCTCGTTTAGTAAACGGGCTATTTGAACTCGAGCTCAATAAGCTTGGTTCGTAAGCTCGTTAACAAGTCAAGCTCGAGCTGAATCGGCTCAAGTATACCATTAGTCGGATCCCTCCTTGCACAACGTCCCCAGCGCTGCCCTCTCCACACCTTGTAAAGAATTGAAAGGAGAGTGAACTTCTTACAGGTAAAAGAACAAAACAATATTTTCTTATTCACAAAAACATAGATAAGGGTAAAATGGTAAAAAGTGGCAAACATAAAAAATAATGGAGACACAACCAAGTTGAAGTTACGAGCTTCATTCACACGGCACCGAGAGCTAGAGTGGTTGGACCGAAAGCTGAAGCGGCTTGGAGATCTAAACCCAAAGTCAATAGCTAAGAACCAATGGTAGGTCTGTTTACCCTCTATCAAGATGATGGTAATGGATATTGATCGCCAGCTTGCTGGTAAGGATTTAATGCTTTGTTGTGGAAGAAGACTTAGTAAAAATATCAGCAGTCTGATCGCCGGTCATGATATGATGAAACTGATGTGGCTGAGTTTGAGATGCTCTTATGAAATGATAATCCACCTCTAGGCATTTTATACGTGCGTGAAATACTAGGTTGTGAGCACGAGCAATGACTGATGTGTTGTCACTACAAATCTTGGTAGGAGTAGATGTTCTGGTAAGTTTCTAAAGTAACCTGCATAACAATAATATTTTTGTGGTTGTGGTTGCAATATCTCAATATTTGGCCTCTATAGAGAATTGAACTACTGTGAGTTGTTTTTTAGCTGACCAAGGATATTGGAGTTAACCCAAACCACAATAGAAGTACAAATATTATTGTTGAAATTCAAATAAAGGTTACAAACAAAAACTCTCAATACTAGGAAAACAACAACATAAACCAAAGGCACCCTAGAGCGAGGACGACAAGGTGGGTTGCGGACCAGGTACCGGAAATGGGGGTTGGGAAGGTGGTAGGAAGAGTTGACGGCAGCCAACAAAAAGCATGTAGGTTGAACAACAAGCTGGGAAATTGGGGGAAGGGAAGTTGGTGGTTGGCTGGAGAGAGGGGCTGAGAAAACGTGGCAGTAGATTAGTTGTTGTCAAAGGGAAGTAGATGACGGGAGGAATAGGCTAGAACAGGTCAAAACCACCTGTAGATAAGAGAAGGGGGCCAATACTAATGGTAGGGAGGGAAAACCGATAGATGCGACTGGACCTGCCGGAAGGAGCACTCCGGAGGGAGAAACCAGCAGGGGGGAGGTCATGGGAAAGGCAGATGGCGACAAGGAAAACAACTGGAGTGCCCGTCTAGATACAGGAAGATGTGGGAAGCTATGGGAAAAGTGGCTGACGATAAGGTAAGTGGAGGTGGATTTTGGGGAAGATAATCACCACTGGAGGAGAGAGATACAACTGGAGCACCACCCTACTAGTCTGATACAACCCTAAACAAGGAAAACAGGATGCTGGCAGTTGTCCTCACAAAATGAAATCAAAAAATAACATAAGCTAAACCTTAAGAAATAAAAGCACATATAAATAGAAGAAGAGTAGGCGGGAAACGAAAACAGAAAACGCGGAATAATTCCCTCCCAATGAAAAGAGGGAGGAGAGGTCAATGAAGCCTCCTGTCAGACCGAAGATTCTCCTGCTTGAACCGATTGGGTCTGGTTCAGCCTTAAACCCCGCGCCACTCTCCCGGGATTAGGGGAGATTTGGTTTCATTTGTCAAAGTTACTAGCTTCTTGAAGAGCGATGTCACGTCCTCTGGATCAAGTAGACATCGTTCCGAAGCACATTCCGATAAAAGAGATATTTGGCCACCCTTGGCACAACCTGAGTTGGAACTGCAGATAGACGAGTATTCCCACCAATCAGGTATCACCCCATCCTAGTTGTAACCTATTTTTTCCACTCGTACCCGTCAAGATGCAACAGATAAAATAGTACGAAAAGAAATTCACTCTGGGGTGAAATCTGCTGCAGGTTGCACCACTTTCACTGGCTCCCTTTCAGGAGAGACCTCTTCACCGATGGGATCTGGAACCCATCGAAGAATTTCAGTCCCCATCAAGTTCCTTAGGCCCATTACCAAGTTGGGATTCATCTTTCCTATCTGACCATGTGACGATGGATACCATTTTGAACCTAAAATAACCTCTGAAAAGGTCCACATAATATTCCCGACATGACACAAAATGGCCTGACAAGCTGGACCTCCATCTAGAAGAATAACCAACGAGTTGTCTTTACATCTAAAAATTTTGCATTTCTCTTATTTGTGGTGGCTTTGTAACCAATGTAGGCTCTTCCAACTCATGACCTTTTTGGATATCTATGGTCAGTCCTGCTGATGTTTCTCTCAGTATCTGCAAAAAGGTGACTCAAGGCACAACAATTTCAAGCTTTACATGAATGTTCATTACAACGAGGTCACTACCTTCCACAACGACTATTGTTACCTTAGCCGGAACCTCTATCTTGAGGTTATGTAGAATTGGTAGTCTCTTCTTCATTGGCTGACAATTGAGAATCATCTATGAAGTTTATATCTTCTTTCGAATCAACGTTTATCTCCTAAACTGGATGCTAGTCCTCCTCCTTTATGTCCTCATCGGTTTCAGTGTATGCGGTGTCCTTCCTCAAATTTTCAACGACGTCCTCCCGGGTTGTCCATTCTAATTCAACATGCCCAAATCTATGATACTTGCAACATTTCTTAGTTGTGTCAGATTTGGGGATTTGAATTTTTTTCACTTATTCTCCACTTTGAATTAGCTTTTCCTCTTACAAGGTCATCTTAGATGTTCTACAGGAGTACTCTAGATATAAGAATTATGTAAGATATGGGAGTCGCTCGGTGATGTTGTCTCTCCACTTCTAAAGCTAAGTCCGCATCTTCTGTCTATAGTAAGTTGACAGGACCTGGCGCTATCTCCCGATTCATCTCCAGATTCTTTCATTCTCCTCTTTGACTCCCAAGATCAGGGTCGAGGTTAACCTCCCATTGGAATTCATCTTTAATGTCCGTAAGCCACCATTGAATTTGGCGGATCTCTCACTATATCTCCTCCCGACAAGTCTTGGGCATATATCTTGTTGGTGGCATGGTCAGGCTTTAATGTTGGGAGAAAAAAGAGGGTGTAGGAGACTCATTGGCAGTGTAGAAAAATTAATTTGGTGTTGCTGATTTTCAGAAAATTATGATTAAGTCAAATTCTTGTTGGAGGTTTGGGAATCGGAAAGGAAAAATTTTTATGGGGGTGGCTTGAGTAGGAGCGGATGCCAGGAAACCCTAGAATAGGACTAGGGTTGTGCTAGCTATGATACCAACTGATACCAAAGTTAACCAAAATCATATTGGAAAT